CTTAGCTCGACAACGACTACTCAGACCGCTCTATACCATAAGAAGTAGTAGGGGGGAAGAATAGCAGGGCAAAGAGGGTCTGGCTTAGACAAAGCTCCCAATCAAACCCTAGATGATTAAATCCGAAGTTACAACCCGAAATTGACAAATTGCTTATTGCCCTAGCAAGGCCATTGGCATAATCGTTATCCCAACGGAGGGGCACGAGACAGAAGCCCAGTGCCTCGACATAGTGGAAAAATCATCTTCCTAACCATAGCACCGCCCTCACTTCAAAATGTTGTAGCTCAGTTGAGAACAAAGCAAGTGATTTCTGATGAAAGCAGAGCAAATGGTGTCAAATACCATCAACCAAGCATGAACGAAAAGATCAAACCACACAACTCTTAACAACAAATGAAATCAGGAAACAAATCAAATGAGAAGTCACTTTGCTCATTTGCCTAAGACATTGAAATGGGGCTGGAGACGAGGTCCTGACTGATTTGGTCGCTTTGCTCGTTTGCCTAAGACATTGAAATGGGGTTGGAAATGAGGTCCTCCTAACTGATCCGGTTGCTTTGCTCATTTGCCTAAGACATTGAAATGAGGTTGGAGATGAGGTCCTCCTGACTGATCCGGTAACTTTGGTCGTTTGCATAAGACAATGAAATGGGGTTGGAGACGAGGTCCTCCTGATTGATTCGGTAGCTTTGCTTGTTTGCCCAAGACATTGAAATGGGGCTGAAGTTGCGGTCCTCCTAACTGATCCAGTCGCTTTGCTCGTTTTCCTAAGACATTGAAATGGGGCTAMAGATGAGGTCCTCYTGACTGATCCGGTCGCCTTGCTCGTTTGCCTAAGACATTGAAATGGGGCTGGAGATAAGGTCCTCCTGACTAATCCGGTCGCTTTGCTAAGTCAGTCGGTTTTGCTTCTTGGCGAAGACCTGACTTTTCTTCTTATGAGAATAGTCCAGGCTAGTGTGTTAGTGATTCCATGAGATTTGACTTAGAAAAACTTGGAAAGTTAAAATTGATAATAGTCCAGGCTAGTGTGTTAGTGATTCCATGAGATTTGACTAAGAACAACTTGAAAAGTTAAAATTTAACTAAATAAGATAAAAGACTCATGTCTTTGTGAATCAGGACAACTAAAGGATGAAATTTTGGATGAACGAACTGTTGTTTTTTTAAATTGATTGAGTGTGTTGCTGACCTGACATGCTTGTTGGTAATGCCTTATCTTTTGCTCAAACTCTGTCTGTTTTCTGCTTTAGTAGGGTAGTCTGTCAGTGTTCGCCTTGCGCTTGAGCGATAGGCAGGTAGATGTCTACTTTTGTTTCGCATTCTTTTCATGCATGATTGCTTTGGTAAGAATTTGACTAGCCTCTGAATTAGTAGAAATCATGAGAATTTTTTTTCTTCGGGGAGGTGCTACCGAAATTTCTGCTAAATACTCAAAGTTAGTCGAGATTCAGAGATGTCAACTAGGATAGGGTATAGTTTAGTCTTTAGAAGCAGTAGAAATTATAAACGACTTCCTTTCTAAAGGAAGTGCTCCCGAAATTTCTACCGAAAACCAAAGAGTTAGTTTATTTTCAAATATTTTCGGAGTCTCGAGTTTCTTTTTAGATTCCGTCTACTAGATATTATTCGAGCACACCTCCCTAAAGGAAGTGCTCCTGTAATTTTAGTGATTTTCATACCGTTACCGGATGCTACTGCTAGTACTTTAGAGTGCGATATGGAGTTTATCTCCTTTAACATGACATGCGGTGCCTGCCTTGATTTTATGACGCAGGTCATCGTTACCTACACGTGGTTTCAGAGATCTTGGGCTTCATCAACTTTTGCTATCGATTTTGATAGCAAGTTAGTCTGTGACTCAACTCCTAACCACTGTGATACCCACGCCCAGATGTCTGTGACCCCATAGGCGAAAGGCATTTCCATGCGAATGAAATTTGTATCCTTGAACCTCTCTTGAATGGTCACGCAAGCTGTGTGACATGGGTCGGACAGGTATGCCTTTGTTGAGTGAAGGTTGGAGAGAGGCGTGTGAGACATGAACCTGGGAACAAAGGGATTGCCCCTGTTTGCGGCATTTGCGTGTGAATTTTCGTCTGGTTTCATGTGCGTGCAGGTATGTATAGGGGCGAGGATTCGCTCGTGGATTAAAAATGACATTGATGATTGAGTGCGGAGTATGGGTGGCAAGATCCAACTGTGGTTGTGAGAATGACTCTCCCTGATTTCCTCCGAGACTCTTTTTTTTTCTCCTTCTATTTACGCTCTCTCCTGCCGCTCGCGCCGCTCGCATCTAGCGAAAAGTCAGGAGTAGTCGAGCGCTAGGTTCAACGCTCACCTTCGATCGGGCTAAGACTTAGTTCGGGTACGACGAATTGCTCGCTAACCCGGGACTAACCCCCACTAAGGTCTCTCCACAAGCAAAGAACGAGCGAACGCCGTCTCAAAGGGGGTCTTGCTTTTTAGATTATTGGTCGGACGTTGGTCCTGAGCCCAGAATTCGAGGTCCTTGTCCAAGACTCGTCCAACACAAAAAGGTTTCCCCCATGAGCCGAACCTACGCCCCTTGCCTATCGTCACCCACTGCCTAAAAGACAGGGATGTCACGAGGGCTGAACGACTTATCCTTCAACCGTTCAATATCGTGAAGGAGAGTCCCTTCACGATATTTCGCCTTCAACACTTGAGTGGCGTACGCAACCCTGGAACACATGAGAGGTTGCGTACTTGTGGGTAACGCATGAAACATCGCCATGATAGCAGATCAAGTGAGTACATATGACTGAGCATTATGGTCCCCTTAGCGGTTGTATTCTTTTTACACAACTTTGTACGGGCCTTGCTTAGACACTTTGGCTTTTTCTGAGTTATAGGTCAAGCCTATGAAAAAGGAAGGAGGCTTATTTGTTTCTTTAAGTTAGTTTTATTTTTGTTCGTGTCGCGTGGTTGAGTTAGGATGTCCTAGTCGACTGACGTTGAATCGCACGTGGGAGATCAACGCCCTAGCGTGACGGTTCGCGTACGGGTCCGAGTTAGACTGTGCGTACCCCCTATGCTTCAGCATACGAGAAACACCCTCCGTTGGACCACCTCCACAATTGCACGTAAAAACTTCTCCATGTGGTTCAGAAGCTCGGCAGGGATAGACTCACCCAAGGGATGGTGACAACTCCTACGGGTGGAGGTAAGTTGTACCTCGCGAGACCCTATCCTGTCGTAGGGACTCGATGGAGGTGTAGTTGGTGCACTCGGTTGAAGCGACTCCCGCCTCTTCCCCTTTCGTGAAGCAACTCGCGAATCTGCCAATACTGAGCAACGCGGCCGGGAAGGTCCCCCCCCAGCGGGGACCGTGCACTCAACACCGAGATTTAGGAATTCCGTCTGATGGCCCTTTGAAAGTCTCTGACACACAGTCGATCGTTCTCAATTTGACAAGGATAGGCCGCGAGCCTTAAGTTTGATCGGCGGAAAATTATTCGTTTTTCCAGTATTCTCAATACCCAGGGTCCCTTAAACAAGCACGGTCAATGATCTTGAATGGAAGGTCGATGTCCATATTTTGCAAAAAGGACTTAACCCATTCATTCGTGTGTACCAGGCGCGATCGGATCGGGGACGGATCATGCAGACACGTGTTTACGTGATGACTGTCGTTCTAGCGGTCATTAGTACACGTGTGCGCATATGATCTGTTTCCTACAGAATTCGAGCCAATTTGTTACACATACATCTAATGTACTCCTAGTATTACTATGAAGAGACGATACTCGCCCACTTAATGTAAATGAGACAACCATCACGTTATGGGCAGAAGTAAAAAGAGGTGGAATAATATTCTCATGGATCAGATGTCAGTCGTGTATGGTTGTATGACACTCCGTACGTCGTACGGGGCTCAGCTCGTACGGCTGTACAAACAGTGGTACGACTATGAACGGTTCCATACAAACTGACGAAACCTCCCCCCCAAAAAATAAAAAAAATAAAAAAATATAAGGGTGTAGAGCTTTTCGTGCTCTATACCCCCAATTTTTTTTAGTTTTTTTAAAAGTTTTTTATATTAAATCAAATATAATTCATCACAACGGGAAAAAAAACAAAATAAAAAAATAAAAATCGATTGATTGATTAATTGATTGATTGATTGATTGATTGATTCTCGATTGATTGATTGACTGATTAAATGCTTGATTGGTTGATCGATTGATTGATTGATTGATTGGTTAAAAAAAAAAAAAAACCGTAGATAGGCACGCAACTATGCTTGAGTGCGTGCTCCCTCTCTCTTTCTATCTGTCTCTCAACGCGCGTGCGAATGTGAGAGAGAGAGAGAGAGAGAGAGAGAGAGAGAGAGAGAGAGAGAGAGAGAGAGAGAGAGAGAGAGAGAGAGAGAGAGAGAGAGAGAGAG